ATTGTCTTGTTGAAAGGTAAACGTTTTTTCCCAATTATGCATAAACCAGATGGTATAGCATGTTTTTTTCACTATCAAATGATGTTGTTCTTTTTTCATGATTCCCTTGGCCAGAATCAAATCTCCAGCCTTCTCACCCACAAAAAACCCTCACACCATAACAAAGCCACCACCATGCTTAACTGTTGGAACCAAACATTCATCATCCTGTCTTTCTCCTTGTTTTCTTGTCACATACACTCTCCTCTTACAACCAAAATTTCAAATTTGAATTTATCTGCCCTCAATATTTTTGCCACTCTTTCAATGTCCAGTTCTGATGGGTTTTTTCCCTATAACTGTCTTTTCTCCTTATTGACCTTCCATGGGTGGATAGTCTTCAAGAAACCCCTATTATAGGGGTTTCTTGAAAACTATGCACCCACTTAGCCCTGCTGATTTAAGTTGATTTTTCACAGTTGAGAGCAACACTGGTTGTTTTCCAGAGGAATTGAATTCAGCTGTCAACTCTTGAGCATTTTTCCTTCTGTTTCTTTTGATCTCAATAATCAAGTGGTTATCTTCAGTAGCAGTTGTCACTTTTGGTGCTCCAGCTCTTTTTCTGCCAATATTTATGCCAGTTTCCTTTGTAATGTTTCAACATCTTAGCAATTTTTCTTTGAGAGAATTTGTACCTTCACCTCAATGCTTAGCTGATTTGATTTTGCCATTTTGTACAAATTACTTCAAATTTAAAAAATGAATAAAAAAACACTATGAAGATACTGTCATAATGCCACAATCTTTTTCTTCTTCAAACATAGACAACTCCATATGTTATATTTACAACATTAATCAGTATTGAGTTGACATTTAGAACCTATATTAACATTTAAGTTAGTTGAAAATTTTGGTAATCTCAAAAAGTCTATTGAGAGGTTAATAGTGAAAGCAAAATATTATATTTCTCATACAAAATATTCATGATATAGTAAATGCAGACAAATTCAAATTTGAACATTTTTTGTATTAAGAAGAGTCTGGGGAAATACTGAAAAATAAAAGCAAATACACTGTAGTTACTGAAATTTTATCTTTTACTCAAAAAAAAATCAAACAAAATATCTCATTTTAAAATGTTTTTTAAAGACTGCAGAATGATCCCAAATCTTTTACATGCAGTGCATCTGACACTCAAAAGGCTTTTGGAGCTTTTAAAGTGACTTTCTCCACATGCATTCCCATGTACCATTTCATCTGATCTGCAAACCTACAAATTTTATTACAAAACTAACATAAGTATGGTGCTAGCCAATCAGGGAGGACATTCACATCTGGCATAAAATAGAACAACCTCCTTGAAGATTGCATACAATTTCATCATAGGTAAAGAAAATAGGGAAATATAGCACAAAAATAATAGAGAATGACATTGAAAGATCATGGGAATAGCGAAAGTTGCCTTTCAGAAATTAAGGACAGAGGACAGAAAAAGCTGAAATTTGAAAGTGCATTTAAATAACAAAAGATACATTCCCAGATGTAACCAAAGTATTAAAAAAAAAACTGGAAAATTTCATTAAAAACAAAGAAAAAATTTCTGAACTGCTATATTATATCTAATCAATTATAGCAGTAAATGCTTCTACTGATGAATGCTGAGAATACAATAGAGAGAGCATGTGAATAACAAGGAAGTTTTAAGCAGAGTAGGAATCAAAATAATTGATATTTCTGGACACATTTAACACTCACAAGGAAAAGAATCAGTTGGAACAGTGTTTAATCTATTTAACAAATTCAAGCAAATGGATGACAGAACAAAGACAAATAATGATGGCAAAGGACCAGAAATTAATTTTCACAACAAAGGAAGAAAGTTGTGGAGAATCACAATTGCCCATGTCTTTTTTTTTTTTCAATTTATTCATTAATATTTAATGGGAAATTTAGTTTCTGTCCAAATTTTTTTGGATGAGGAGTTAACAATATTTACTATTATTTTAATCACTGCACCCTCCTGTCTTCATTAGTGTATGATTTTGTTTGCAGATAGTGTAAATAAAAGTTAAGAAGTCGTAGAGAGTCATGATCATCCATGTCTGAAATGATATAGTCTGTAAAAAAACTAGTAGTCAATAATGGAACTTTTATGGCAAGATCACATATTCACATCAACAAATTGAAAAAAGTCTGGCTAGCAAATTTATTCTTTAAAATCTTTTTTTTCCATATTTCATATTAAATTTTGTTTTTTTTTTCTCATTTCTTTTTCCCATCCTGTCTACACGTCTTAATAGACATCTAGTGTACATTGTGTTATGCAAATATGCACTAAAAAATTCTCAAAAAAGGTTGATTAAGTATTCAACATGATCAGGATTAAAGTAACATTGGAAAAATATTAATACCTCTAGCTATAATTCTTATCTGCAGAACTATGGAGATTTCTTTATATGTCGGGTTCAAGAAGTCATCAGAATGATAAGGCAGTACTGATGTGGAAGCATAACTACAGTGATGAGACATAAAAGTCTTTTTTTATGGGAATTTCTCAAACAGCCATGCAAGAGAGATAATGCTATCCTCTTTCATATCTCTGTTTTGGCTAAAGTGTTTTATGCCGCAACTTTTGATGGGAGATTTATGTATTCACATAAAACAGATATCGATTCAAGAAAATATAGTCGAATTGTAAATAGTAATGGTAATATTAGCCATTTCCCTATAAGGAAACATTTGGAATTCATTGACTGAGCAGACAGTACTGCTTTCATTGAAATTTATAAAATGTTTCTCTTAAAATAATTTTTAAAAAAGATAGGTTTTTCAAGTGGTATCGCAATTTCCAGTACAGATGGATTTTTTTTTCTTCCTAGCCTTTTATTTGAAGTAGTGTGGAATGTCAAAATTTCATGTCATTATTTTCTGTGTGAATTACAGATCCTGGACAGAGTGCTGTGGAGTGATACTTAGATTCTCAGAAGAATGCAGTTACTATACTATGATTCTCAGTGTGTAAATTACTCTTTTGAGTAGGTACATATCTACTTATCATCTCCTAGTTGTGTCTCTGTCTTTGGGAAGAGTGTTCTCAGGGGCTTCTCTGTCAAAGAACAGAGGGGCAAATGAGAAAATTATACTGAGAGGTGCCCAGCCCTGGGGAACAGCTACCTGAGGCTGTGCCTTCTTATTGCACTAGAGAGAATGATCAGTACATGCACTGAGGCTGGATGCGGGTGCTCGGGGAATTTTTGATTAAACCAACCTTGTGCCGTTGAGTAAATTGAGTAAACATTAAACTGACCTCGTGGGGGATTGAGTAAATATCTACTATGATTCTCAGCAAAAGTACTAATCTATAACTATTGCTATCCATATTGCTGCTGTTAATAATCCTCAAGTAATGAGGTTTCTGTTATTTGTTACAGTTCCTTGTTTGTGAATATGCATCGCCAGTCCACAATGTTCAAAGACATGACCCTCAGGCTTCATTCACTCAAACCCTTTTTTAGCCATTGATCTTAAGAAGTGATTATATAGAGTTAACAGTTAAAGGCATTTCCTTAATAAATTTTCAACTAATTTATTGATGCATATTAGCTAGAAAATACTTGATTATTATTATTATTTTTCCTTAATTTGAATAATCTCTGCACTCATTCATTTTTGTGGATATTGAAAGAACAGAGGCTTAAAAAAGATATTAAGGGGACAAATATAGGGATATGAAGGATAGAAAATTGTGAAGATCCATGATCACCCACATTCTGAAGAGACATGATATACAGAATAAGAATGCACCCCTGTAAAGCAAAAATGAATCATTTTTTTTATATATAATTATCAGTGTTTATATACGTATATATTCTAATTTGTTTGATTGAATGGATTTTTTTGTTTAGTTGCTTATCAACCTCTGTGAGTTATTTAATGCCAAAATCTAAATATATTGTATACATTTTTTTTTTCAGATAATAATCATTTTAATCATACATGTCTTACTAATTTACCCATATCTTAGGGAGAAGATATTATGATTTGGATGCTAGAAATGAGAGAGTATTTAACCCAAACATCTATTTTTTCTCTTCTCCTTAAAATACAGTAGCATGCTAGTAAGAAACCATTTTTTATCATGATATCCAGTGTTGGAACAGTGTGCAGGTAGAAATGGATTCATGCCATTCCTAAGAGTATTATTATTAGTAAGTGAATATAAGCAACCTCAGATGGAATACATTTATGGTTTCTGTTTGTTTGTGCTGGTAACCATTAATACATCCAAGGGTGTGCTGAAAAATAGTTCTTTAAAAAAAACCTCTTTGTTCATTTGATCAGACTTTTGATAGGTTTGGTTAAGGACATTTCAACACACTTTGTATATATTGTACTTGGCACTACAAAATTACAAAGAACTTTATCAGATAAGTGAAATCTTATTACTTCAGGTCTTTCAACTGCAGCAACAATTAAAATTGATAGTTCATGTAACTTGAAGAGAAAATGATGACATAATCTTGATGTGGATATTCCACATTACTTCAAACAAAAAGTTAGGAAGGAAACCCCCATCAATACTAGAAAAGCAATAACACAGCTTTAAAAAACTATTTTCCTGAAAAATCTTTTTAACAGTAAGATTTATAAAGTTTTATAAGTAAATGGTTAATATCACTATTACTATTACCTATTTCTATGATCAAGTGATTAAAAAGGGCTTTGAGTAGATGAAGCCTGTAAGCGAGCTTAGCAAGGACCATTCTTCTTTCAACATCATGGATTGGTGTTCTGAAATCACAAAGATTGATTGATTCCTTCATTCATTTTCTATTGCTTATCAACACTTTGAGATAATAATTGTTTAGTGATACAACTCTTAATAATTAACCTTTTAGTTGGGGGGAAAAGAGGTGGATTCATATCTTTCCCAAATGTATTTGTACATAAGTAAACATAACAATATCAAAAGGGAACATTTCCGAGCCATTATCCATTAAACCACCCTCAAATCCGAGCTAACAGAACATGGTATTCCCAAGTATTCACCCATCTAAGTACTGACCAGGCTCAATGTTACTTAACTTCAGTGATCATATGAGGACCAGTGTTTCAACATGATGTGGCCATCAGAATCACAAAGAACCATATCAAATGACAGAAACATCATTACTTCAGGACTTTCAACAACAGAAACAACTAAAATAGATAGCACATTTGACTCAAAGAAAAATAATGACATACTCAAGATGTGTATGTTCTACACTACTTCAAAGAAATGGTTAGGAATTAAACTTCTTCAATGCTAGAAAGTATCCCCAAAATGGTAATTACATATTACTCAGCCCAATAATTAAGAAATTATAATATAAAAAAAATATGTTTGTATCTAAAATTGTGATGTGATGATAAACATATCAGAAATTATAATCTAAGAAATTATTTCTGATTTAATATTTTATAATTATTTTGGAATGTAAATGATAATAAGAGTTATGCCAAGTTTATTATTAATTTTAATTACTAAACAAGCATGTCTAGTAATGGACATTTTTCATGAAGTATTGTATTTGTTAAAGCAATTTCTTTCAAAGATGACAATTTGAGGTTTTGTGGTGAAGTATTGTCATTATTAAATAATAAAATAGAAGCTTAGAAAAGTAACCAGATGATTGATTATATAATGGCACTTTTGCTGAGGATCATGGTGTAGTAACTGTGCTTTCAGTTGGGAATCTAAGTATCAGTCCACAGCACTATCTCCAAGATCAGTGTGCAGTATTTGTACCTTCTGTGAAAGTCTTACACACAAAAATGGAAAGGTAGCACTTTAAAAACTCGGTTTAGGGCAAATTTTCAGAATAGGTTTAGGTCAAGACATTTTCAGTGCCCCTTTGTTTATATGAACACATGTTGCATTTTATATCTATGAATTTCACAGATTAGTATCTTCATCTTTGTTATTTTGATTACTAATGTTTAACTCATGTCATCTTGATTGTTATATACTCACAGTGTTGTAATCTTGTACTGTCTGGTTTTCTTCAGGTCTCAGTCACTGTACTTGATAACCTTTTGTAATTCTGAACTGAAACCTTTATTTAATTTATGGTAGTAGATTGTTCTCATTCCAATAGATTATATGAAGAGTTTGGTTTGAAATTGCAAGATCAGTGAGTACAGTGGCAAACACCTGCAGAATGTCAAAATATTGCAGTTATAACAACTAAGATATACATGCTGATGTAAATTGCACATAATAATGTGGTTAAACCATACAAGAATGATCAATGTCCAAGTCTGAATTTTAATCTGAAATTTCCCTTGTATGATAGGATGCTGAAAAATTCTGAGCCTCGCCTTTTAACCATTCTGCCAAAATTCTGATGCTTAATCATTTGCTTTGTTCTTAAGAAATGGCTCAGCGTTCTAAGAAGTTTTCAGTCTCTTGTATAATATTTGAACTATGTTTTTTTCTAATTTTTACAATGAGTTTTATCCTGTACAAGGCCCAAAAGTCATTCAAGGTTGAGGACTATGCAGTATGAGGCACAGTATATGGGAATATGTGGACAAGTTAATGGCTGACTTGCTGACTTTAAGAGGTTAAGATTGTAGTGATTGGGCAAAGCATCCTCCTGGGAGTCTGTTTCACAAAACAGTAGTTCATGGAAAGAAGCTGTTTGAGTGGAACTTTTATGTCAACAATAGAATACAAAGAGAATAATGGTTCAGTATAATGTGTGTGGCATGGCAGGTCCTAGCCATAAATGAACTAAAGGAAGTAGATTGTCAGAACACTCCCTATGGAAATAGCAATAGAGCAGTGAGAGGCTTATGACATTTTATCTGTGAGAAGGGAATAATGAATTAGTGCAGAATTAGGCATACTGGAAAAGAAGGAGATCATGTTTAAAAAAATACTTGTTATGCAAATTAAATGCTTTTTTAAATTTTAGGTTATGGTTTTATTTATATTCCTACAATGTGGTGACCCATTCCAGCCATGGAATTCTCAGCATCTATCTTTAGAACAACATCTCTGTTACTTCGATTCTCTTTTTCATCTGCAAGGAAATTGTTCAGGATGCACTGCCATACAAGAAAATTGCATATTTTAAATTAGTAATGTTGTTATATTCTCTTATGAGCCAGTTCACTACAGAATATGGGTGATAACGGCTCTCTACATCTTCATATCTTTTGTAGCTAGAAGAAAAGCTTATCCTCTTACTATCCATCCCAATTAGTGTTCTTCCATTAATCTCCTTCAGTAGGTTACTCACTTTTTCCCCTCTGACCCTTTTACCTTAAACATCTCTTGTGGATATCAAATCTCATCTTTCTTATTATATATCAAAGAAATTTTAACTGTCACTTTCTTATTCAAATTATAAGTGTCCTTTTTGTTTCCATTTTCTATAAAGCTTTGTAATTGCTTACAAGTTTCATCCATGGTATTCTCAGCATTTTTCTGTAAAAACACATTTCTGTTGCTTCAAGTCTCTTCTTCATCTATGAGGAGATTATCCAGCATTCACTGCCATATAGGATGACTATTAATACACAACATTTGCTATTTCTCCTGAACCTTGTTACATCATACATTTACTCAAGTTCACTAAGTAGGTTATTGTTTTCCTCTGTCTCTCTTGCCATGAATCAGTTCTGTGGGTATTAGATTTTCCAAACCTTCTTTCCCCATCATGTGCCCCAGAAATTTCAATTGCCTCTTCTTGATGTTAAGTATGATTTTCGTTTTTATTTCCATTTTCTCTAAAGCTTCGTTATTGCTGGCATGTTTAATAGTCCTTTGGATCGTGTACAGGGTGAACCTTACTGTAAAAAAAAGCCCCTTGTAAGGGGTGAGTTTTACCTGTGCGAACAATTTTTTGTATTTAAGGCAAGGACTATACAGGAATCCATTCAATAAGTCTATCAAAACCTTTACTAATCAAACCAAGGATTCCAACCACAACTGGAATAATTAATGTCTTCATATGCCACATTTTTAGATTTCCACTTCAAGACCTTTGCATTTTCATAGTTTATATGAAGATCTTCAAAGATACATGACAGTCTGTAGGAACAGCTATGTAATTAAGACATCTGGCTGAGAAAGTCCCTCTGAGTTTGTAAATTAGTTTTGAAAAAGTAGACAACGTTCAACTTTTAGACAATTTTTTAAAATCCAGATTTTATCCACAAACTTTTGGTCTATAGTGTAGCTAGAAAAATTATAGGAATAGAATAAATGTCAGTAGAAACAGAATGATGTCTGAAAATTATACAATAACATTTGACAGTTAATTGCTGGCTTGATAATTTTTTCAGAGATGACAAGTTGGAATCAGTCAAAAGAATATTTTTCTCATATATTTATTGTCTGCTGTTTGTAAGCGACAAAATATGTCAGCTTTAAGGATTTAATTTGATTGTTTGAAATTTAGATACAAATGACTGCTGAAAATAGAATGTTTTTGTATTTAATGTGTAATTCACCGACTAAAAAGTTATTGAAATTTTTTTTATCTATGAAACTATTTCTGTTATGAAGACTTTTATTCAGAATTTGAGACTATCTTTACCAAATCCAAATGATTAGGCTAAAGTAATTTCCAGTCAAAACCATACACATGCACACACACACACACACACACACACATATATAGAGAGAGAGACAGAGAGAGAGGGCATATACAATACTGTGCAAAAGAATGTTTGCCTCTAGGAAAAAAAGAAAAAGGAGACAATTTTTTAAAATATTATCTTAGGGGTTCACTTACATTTGAACAGTACTACATATATATATATATATATATATATATATATATATATATATATATATATATATATATATATATATTTTTTTTGTAAAATTACATGGAATAATGCAGTATACATAGTTTGGGTACATTCAATATGAAATAACATTTTTTTATTGCAGTACTTCGTTTACCTGGCAACTCCGAGTATGAGAAAGTGGACTCTGTATTATTTTAGAGCACTCTATTTTGCCACAACAGAATCCAGAGTCACTAATGGCAATCGATGTGTTGTCAGATGAGGAAACAGCACTAAATGTATGCTTCATGTGTTTCAGGTTTAATTATTAAAACTATTATTAATAATTTCAATTTTGCAGATTCAGTCTTAATATGGACAAGAAGTGTAATTTATCACCTGAGAAGAGGCAAACCATCATCACATTACATTTTGAAGGCCATATTTTCCAAGATATAGTCCAAAAAATTAAAGTTTCATACACTACAGTTAACTCTACTATTATGAGAAATGTGGAAACATACAAAAATAATGACAGACAATGGTCAGGTCAGCCAAGATCCACTTCTAAATCACAAGACAAGTTCATCTATCTATCTATCTATCTATCTATCTATCTATATATATATATATATATATATATATACCCAAGTATATAATTGGTGTATATATGCAGAGGTGTTGAAACAAAATGGCTATTTTTGTAGTGATTTTCTAACATATTTATGTTATAATTTTTAAATAAATAATTATATATATATATATGTGTGTGTGTGTGTGTCTGTGTGTGTGTATATATATATATATATATATATATATATATATATATATATATATATAATGGACTCTCCCGTTGGTTTTGACGTATGAGGATCTGCCAGCTTATTGATTCAGTTATGAAAGTTTATGCGCTAATCTTAAGTGGCATTTAAGACCCGCTAGTGATTTACAAAGGAGGCCACATATAGAGCAAGTGTGAGGATTGTGAGATGAGATCATTGTTAGATTGGTTGACCTTTTAGATCTTGCTCTCACTTCTTGAAGATGATTCAGACAAGCAGATTGAAAATTGCTGAGTCCACTAAAACACGTTGATCTCCAGTCTACCCGCTCCAAAGCTAAGCGCTCAAGGGTGTTATGTGGTATATTAACTGCTGACAAGTTTCTTTTCAGCTTGTCTTTGTATCTTAGCCATGGGCATCCTATATTCCTATTTTTATATATATATATTAATCATTTCACCCCAAGCAACAAAACCACTAACATTATTAAAGAGTGAGAACAATAAAAGAACAAGACAAAAGATAGAGATTGACATTACATTTAAAGTTTTGAAGATCAAACTTG